AATCTATGTAGGCAGAGAGAGAGAGAAAGACTTCTGAGTCTTGCTCTGCCTTGGTGATAAAAACAAAGTATACAGATTTGACTATGTCATCTTCTGATTTGTTTAGAAAACTCTATTCTTTCATGAAAATATGATACGCCTCACCTCCTTTTCGCAGTTACATAGAAGCTGAAATTTGTTTCTACCGACAAAAGATTTGTTGAAGCATATACATATAATTATTCCGTAAATAGTCAATCCTATTCACTCCCAATTGTTTAACAAATTACATCATTCGGGACTCATATTATTCTTAGTTTCTACCGATTTCTCCTTATCATCGTGTAAAAAGTATGTTCAAATCATTTATGTAATTTATATTTTTTTCGATTGTATAGGCTGTAGCTAGTTGACAAGAATCCTTGAAGTAATAAAAGATGAGCTCACTTTGTCCTAGAACATTTGTTGTTCTTGCTTTGCTCTCATTTACTTTGTATCCAGAATTATATTTCAGGTTTTCAGTGGAACAGTATTATAATTGAGTGATCTACTTCACAATGCACAAAATCTTCCCAGATATTACTAAAAATAGGGATCATTTGGATCAAAGAAAAAGTAATAAAAAATTAAGTCAAAAGGAGATATGCAGGTGTTAGATCAATGATATATAAGTGGGTAGGAAAGGGTATTGATTACAAAATCAGTTGAAATGTTTAAATAAGTATGAATATTGGCAATAATTCAATTTACTTCAAGTTTGCCGAGGCAGTCTCCATCAAGCGTCTGAAACCCGATTTATGCGTTCAGGAAGAAGTGGTTATCAGTCTTTCCTTGCCCTGGTAACTGGATATTTTTCATCCTCCCTTTGACTTGATTACGTAATGCTAAAAATTCCTTCCTGTATAATTATTATTCTTTGGGATATAGTGATAATCATTATTGCCATTGAACGCATACACTGAATTTTGGTTAAAAAATAACTCTCTCCGTAAGTATGTTAAAAACATTTCTGTACACTAACTGACTAATGTCTTCAGGTTGTAGGCAGTTGATGAGAATCCAACGAAATAAATGATAGCACCATTTAACTCTGCACAAACTGTTCTTCCTGCTTTCTTCAAATTCATAAAGGGGAATAAATGTAAGAAGATTGTTAAAGCATTGATTTTCGAGTCAATTATTGTGCTACATTATTATTCTCTTGGGTTCCTAGTGGAACATAGGGCTTTAACTGCACGTCTCCACTTGCCACTTCTGTCTTCCTTCTGCTGTACTTTTCACCTGCATCCATGTTAGTCCATACTCTTTCAACTCCTCTTCACATGATCTCCTCCATGTCATTCTTGCACTGACGTCCCACTCGCCTCTTCCCTTTCGGCCTGGTTCCACTCGAGCAATGGCCTGACGCGCGCGCGATGTCATACAGTGGCGGCCTTCTCAGAGAGTGTCCGATCCATCCATTTCCACTTTCTCCTGCATACTTGTTGGGCGATTGGTTCTTGTTTTGTTTGTTCTCAGCCATAGTTTCTTGTTAATGATTCTTTCCGGCCTGGCCATCTGATCTTCAGTATAGATCCAGCGAAGACAGTTGTTGGTTGATAAAGGTAGCGTCTGCAACAGGCTGTTGGAAATATTCTTTGTGACCCGCCCGCTAAGTTTCTGATCCGTATAGAAGAATTAACTGACTTGACGTTTGTATTGAAAATCCGAATTTTTTGCTGATGCTGACTGTCTTTTAAGCTGCACCACACTTTAGCAATCCTTCCAAGATATATATGGTCAAAAACACCTCTGTAAGCCATAAAGTAGACACAATAAACATCTGCGTTACATACTTTCTATTTGATGAGTAGCCAGTACTGTATCACCAATAAGTTTAATGAAGAGTGATAGAAAATCAGATGGGTTTATTTTATTCTTTCTGAGACTTACAAAATATCCGTAATCCATGATTTTCTGCGTTCATTTCACTTCTTATTTCTTTGAATAACATTCATTGAAGGTTGACACTGAAGCGCATTATGTTTCACACAAAAGATATTCAAGGTAGTTAGAAAACATTTCACTGTAATATTTCGGTGCGTTAAGCATGAAGCACGAATTAAAATTATATTCCGTCAAAGTAGATAACATTGGTTTTTATTCAAAGACCTTATTGGATAATAAAAGGTTACTCTTTCCTCTTATCTTTTATATTCACTAATGAAACGACTGGGAACATTTGATATTCCTTCTGTTGAATAAACTAAATAATATTCCTGTGGTTGTAGTAACCTTTGATGAATATAGTTGAAATGGATAACTAAGTTGTGGTAGGATTCAAACATGTGGTTCTAATAGTATATTAAGTCATTTTGGTCTATCGACTGAGAATGGTAAAAAGTCTTCTAGTTGGCATATAACTACAATGAATTCATAGAAACCTCCCATGTGTAATTTATTTAATAAATTATGGTTGGATGTTTCCTCACAGAATGTGTACACATGAACTTCGCCTTCATATTTCATAGGCTTGACTTACCTGAACACTATTCAGTTTTTTCAAAATGAAGTCATCTTAAGCTTTGTCAGGTAGCATCACAATGACATTTATTAATAGTAATAATATGGTTCACATGGCATTTCTGATAGTACACTTTATGTTAACAGAATTGGTCTTAAACAGTAGGTTGACTTCAGAAGCTATGGGATAACGTAATGGCGAATACTTGAGTGACATGTAAAGCCATTCAAGAAGAACGAAAATATACCTACCTATTACAATCTTTAAGAGGACACTATTTAGTCGAAGAAAAAGATTAACAGTGGTGATATATAACTGATTACTAGCTTAGTATTGCACTGTCGGCGTCATTAATAAGAAGGTGTGTAGTGTCAGTGGCGTGGCCTTTCAAGTTGTTCCATTGCTGTCCAACTTTAAAATGTCACCAGTGCGATTGGAGAAAAAATCTTAGAAGAGAACATACTTTCTCACGCCAAATTTTTAAAAAGTCATATATTTTATATTGTGGCTGTGATGGATGCAGTTATTCATGTGGTCTATAAGTCAGATACTGTTCGTGTTAACGTCAGGTTTTCAGACACGACTATTGTGATTTTATCTATACATAGTAAATGTCAAACTTCGTTTCCCTAATACACACAGAAACACTTCATTGACCGATATATTCCTCATTGGTATTTGACTAAAGGAAGTTACTTCTTTCACTTAACTAGTTGGACAGCGTCGTTTCAACGACAGGCGGCACAGATGATGATGTCAAAGCCAGACAGGATGGAATCAAGAAAGCAAGACAAACGTTCATAACTGAAAGCAATGCGAAAATCTTCTGCGCTTAGTATAAATAGCAAAATATGATTTTCCATCACTAATGTCCAGTTACCCAGGGCTTACATAGGCTTCTGAGACTTGGTAAATGCGTCACTATAAACATTTTCACTAGTCTGAAGAATTTCATCAACATCTGCCTCCTTGGCTCTATACTGAAGACCAGATAGTCGGCCAGAGGGACTATGGCGAAAAGCCAACCATGAACTTATTACCTGACAAATGTTTGAGAGGAAGTGGAGATTGACTGAACGCACGATGAGGAGACCTTTGACTGACATCTCATGCCAGGTCCTCAAGTGGAACGTGAATGTACGATGATGAACTGGGGATAGGTATGATAGTGACATAGAGGAAATGGTTTATGGAGGAAATGTAGGCGTACTCACAAATCTTGAAGTCATCTAAGGAAGACTGCAGAGAACACAATGAATCGGTGATATGCTGCTGAAGCACTGATAAGTGATAATATTCGTAACAATTAATGGTTTACTGTTAACAAGCCATTTATTTTTAAATAGAACTCTTACAGACCAACATTTAACACAAATATTGTGGTGTATGCTTCCTATTAATAGATATAAGTATTGTAGAGATTGGAGTTTTCGGAAATGCATTGAATGAAATGAAAATGAAAAGGCTGATGTAGAAAGAACACGGGAGGAGAGTTATATCTCTCACGGAAACCGAATGACTATCGGAAAATGAAGAAAAACATCCCTAATTTGGAATTCATCTTTTGTCGTTTTTGTAATATTCATTCCATAATGAGGTTTTGCATGTGCCCTCATAAGTCTTATTTATTTCGGTATAAGAATCATTCTATTTAATAACTTCTGAATGAAATATAATCTTCATATTAAGGCGTAATACTTATTAACACACAAATCACACACACAGTAATTCGTAATGCTTTGAAGATATTTGACACTTGGTTAGGCTATTCAAATTTTAACCATAATTTGAGCACTTCCCCTCAATCCCAGTATCAATAAGTTTATAGGTATACAGACCGGGGTTGTTACGAATGCCCAGGAGACCTGGCTTGCACAGTATAACATTCAGAAACATTCTCACCTTGACTTTCTAATCGTACTCGGACTATTTCATCGCATTTCTATAATGGCTTCATTTAAGTGTTTTATCGAATAGCTTAGTAATAGCATCATGTTATTTATCTTTACCGAAATATTTATACCAATTTTATCACTTAAATTTCAAATAGTAACTCCACACGTTTTCCAATGGGTTTATAGGTCATCCTGAGGACGATGCTATTTATGGCAGGATGGTTCTCTGCTATGTTCACGTGATTACATAAGCAATATATCTCTAAGATACTTGACATTCAATTGTGAATTCGGAAAACTATTATGAGGTATTTATTTGAACGGCTTCAGAGTTCTGGCTAGTCAGCGCCAGTGAACGTTGCTTCATAGTCGTATATAGACAGGAGGTTTCATAGTTCTATTGATTGATTCCTTATAATTTTATGCTTGTATACATGGGCTATCACACTAAAAATACTTTATTTCTACTTGTATCCTAGCGGCGCTTATTCAGGCTGATATGTTTTAGGAATAGGCTATAACATTGCTCCACATTTCACTTAAACAGCCGTTACCTTCAATGGAGTAAAATCAATATCTTAGGCATTTCTTTGCCTTACTTCTTTTTTTTAATTTTTTATCAGATCATTGTGATTAAATTTGCCGGTATACAACGTCATACGCAATTTATCATAAATCAAGAAAAAGAAAAATATGAAAAATTAGAAAAAACTTTTGAAAATTATCAGAAAAATCTACTTGAATTACAAGTAAGTTTTATTTGAATCAGAAAAAATGTAGATTTTGTCATGAACTAGTATTAGTTAGGGAGGTAATCATTGAAAATGAAAGCAGTACGTGATAGCTGTTCCATTCTCATTTAGAACTCTTCGGCAGGGTACACCGACGCGAGCAATGGAATTCAATTCCAGCTGAGGTAATTACTCAGCGTTGCTGAGAAGTCTCAGGCTAGGATAAAGTAACTGCCCAATGTTCCTGAGTTTTCAGTCATTATCCAACTGATGTTGGTTCGTCAGAGAATCGGTATTAAAATAAACTAGGATTTCTAAACAACTCATAATGACAGAATCAACCCTTAAAAAAATGACAACTATACATTTTTTTCAGATATTGGTTTTTGTAGAGATTTTGTGTAGATTTCATCACAAACAAGCATCAGTATGATACTAACTGAAATCCAAAGAGTCCTAGACGTCTGTTTCGTCCTAGCTTAAGACTCTTCAATGGCATATACCCGTAACTACACCAGAGGCTGAATACAATACCTTCAGGTTTCGAGGCCAAACCTCTGACCGAGTGGAATCCAAATCTAATTCCATCAGTTTACGGTATAACACCACCGATTAGTCTTCACTTCACACCTTGTGTGATGGATGCCACCAGTCACTACATCTCATTAAAAATACAGTATAAAATCATTACTGAAATGCATTTTTCAGTGATTTACACGAAAATGTATTTATGGTTTTGCTCTAAAAGAGTTTGCTTTTGATATAAGAATAGAACTTGTGCAATATGGTAGAGTATAATTCCATTGAGGGTAAAATTTTATTTAGATAAATTCTCACAGTGTTGTTATACAGTAATATTTACTGATGACGTTTCGAGCACAATTTATTACTCATAATCATATCAAAGTACTCACACAACTTTCTAACTTCCTTTATATAATTCCATTATTTTCCATCGCTTGATTTAATTGGTAGTAGTATTTTCCATATTTCAGGTATGAGTGATGAGTCACTCCTATTGCATGTGTTATGTTGGGTGTAGACTCGATGAACCAGGCATGATTCAGTAATCAACCTCTCTCTCCACCTATCTAGATTACTTTTTAGAATTTTAACCCTCTCCCACCCTATTGTGTGGTTATGTGTTAGTTCATGCAGTGCAATTACTGAGCTTTTTCCTAAATTACTTATCTTCATGGGGTTAACTATTCTAACCTTAGCTAAATTCTTATGTTCCGACAATCTGGCTACCACCTGACCTACTAGTTTGACCTATGTAGTTGACCTCACAGTCATTCCAGGGTATTTTGTAAATTATATGATTTTGTCTAAATGTTGTTATGTGAACATATATGACGAATAAAAGACTGGATAAAGTGCACAATGAAAAGATTGAAAATTATCTCTTAAGATTAATATTTTTATAAACTTTCGTTTAAATTTACAATCAGTAAACAAAGATTGCCTTTTGCATTTTACTCACTGCCATTTTAGCGTTTAGATAACGTGTGTTTTTGACGCCGTCTTAGTATCTATGCTCACTTATACGTATTTAGTTATTATCCACTATATTTTAAGTATTCATGATGCTTGAGCACTTTTCAAGATGACATTTTGTTTGTTTGTTTGTTTAATCCGTTTGTCATCGAAGTTAATAGGTAAACCTGGATAGAAGCAGCATTTGAGCCACACATCATGACCTCTGTACCAAATGACTTTTGGAACCCACCTGTTGTTCAGGTTGTCTTTCATAGTCTGAAACACAACTGCACATCTTATTCTCCTCCTAATATAATTAGAACGGTGGAAAAGAGGACGTAACTGAATACCTAGTGTCCCCTACCTCCTATTAACATAATGTCCATGCAGAGCCGTTAGAATTTAGTTTAGTCTTGCTAGAGCACTGAGTAGGTGATGTGAAGGCTTCTGTGTGAAATTCTTGTTAAATATAAGGCTTTCGTTTCAACTACAGTCAATATACCTTCTCTGTTTAGACCTGAGTTTTTCAATCTATAGCTATCTCGAATGGTCTGATCCCCAATATTGTTTTATTTTCTCTCTCAAGACAACATTTGATAACTTATCAAGACAAAATCAAAAGCTTATCAATGAAAATGAAGTTTTACGCAATGAAATTCAATCGAGAGATGCTAAAATAAAGAGTTTAGCAGAAGAAAATAATCAATTAAATGAAAAGTATCAAAGTGCTCAACAAAAAGTGAACAATTTCAAGAATATAAACAATACTAACAATAATACTAACGGTAATAATACTCATGTTAGTACAATTAATAATGATAATAAAACTATGAACACTAACGGAAATATAAAAAGCAACAATACAACTGTTGTTACTAATCCAAAAAGCATCAATGAAAATAAGCCAAATTCTAAAGAATATCCACAACCTGATCAACAAAATCAAAATAAACAAGCAGTACCAGAAAAATCAGTACCCGTAATATCTCCAGACAAGGTAAATAAAAATTCTACAAAAATATGGCAGTTTTAGAAGGTTTGTTCCATAGGAAGTTACTGGGTTATTTTTAACCATCAAGTTGAAGTTTTTTTTAAAAAGTTTTTCACAATGTCATTCAGACAACCAAGCTGATGGTGTAACGTACATTGCTAGGCCTGTTTAAGCGCAATAGTATAAATACGCCTCATTCCTAGTTTGGTCATTATCCTGTATATTTCGGTGTGGAGATAGGGTTCTTTGGTTTTAGCCCTTTTGGTATCAGCTAAGGACTGTCTAGTCCAGATTTCTTTGCATAGTACCAACAGCCTTCACATCAAAGGTGTGAATCAGCTTGAAATATGGAAAGTGTGTTCTGGGCATCTCAACTCTAACGGCAACAGGAGAACTATATGGTCAGATGTCTTACCTATATTGCCGAATACTATCCGAAATCCTAGCCATACAAAAAATACTCTCTAGGTTTCTGTGATTCAGACGGCTATATAAAAGCTTTCTATCATATTCGGCAACCGTCACTATCAACGGGAGAAATTTAACAGAGGTCACTTCCTTCACTTATCTGGGAAACATCGTTTCAACTACAGGCAGAGCGGATGAAAATGTCAAGGCCAGTCAGAATCGGAAAGGCAAGATACAACTTCATCAGTCTGAAATCGGTTTGGAAATCTTCTGCACTCAGCCAGAATAAAGAGCATGATTCGAATTTTCAACACAAATATGAAGCCAGTCAGTCAGTTATTCTATGCGAGTCAGAAACTTGGCCAGCGTGCCACGAAAAGGATTTCCAACAGGCCACTGTAGACTTTTTTCAACAGGCGCCTACGCTGGCTCCATACTGAATATCGATTAGCCAGAAAGAATTAGTAGCAAGAAACTCTGGTTGAGAACAAACCAACCAAGAACCGTTCTCTCAACAAATATGCAGGAGAAAATGGAAACGGCTCGGGGATGCGTTGAGGAGGCCGTCGAATGACATCGCGTGTCAGGCCCTCTAGTGGAATCCAGAAGGGAAGCGACGAGTTGGTGGGAGGGTGACATGGAGAAGATTGTATGAGGAGGAGATGGGAGGCTATGAGTAATCGTCGACCCGGATGAAGACGACAGCATAAAATAGAAGGGAGTGGAGACGTGTTGTGGAAGCCCTATGCTCCATTCAGAACTCAAGGGAATGATAATAATAATAATAATAATATCCTAAGCTTACCTTTCACCCACCTTTAATTGGAAAAGAAGTACGTATTCATAATACTGAGGCATGATTAGTTATACATTTTATATATAACTGAATATAATCTTGTATAGCAAGCAATCTTAACAATAGTATGGCATTTAATACTGAAAGCAAGTATAAGCGCTAGAATGGTCATCAGATCGCACAGTTCTTTGCATTTCAACAACTATAGTTTTACTCTTTAAATTACACAAAGTTTGTAATCGAGTTAACTTTTTGTTTCCGCTATTCAGATAACAAAAGCGGAAGATGTAAAGATGACTGAAAGATAGAGAAGTTGTATATATATATACATATATATATATATACATATATATATATATATTCCAGAATGATCAACAACTGAGGTGTGTGAAATAAAGCACGAAGTACCCGAACTTGCATCATATTTGAATATATTTTCAAAATGATTCAAATAACTTTTTATGGGGAATAATTTTCAAGTGTTGGTTTGTAGGGATTTGATTGGTTTCAGGATTTCATCATGAGCTGACATCAGTTAGAGAACCATTGGAAAACCTGGGAGTACTGGACAGTTGTTTCGTCCTAGTTTAGGACTCTTCAGTAGTACACACCCACCGGGATTCGAACCCAGAACCTTCCGGTTACAAGGCGAGGAATATTTTGGTCTAAATCTATAGTTAAATGGGGAAAGATTACAATAAAATCATATACAGGTTGTAATTTGTGAATATATTATGAAAGGGAAGATACTTTACTGGGGCATTCTATAAACCTTATTAAAGACTGAAGATCTATAAAATTATCTTGCACCAAAGTGTGTTATAAGATCCGTGTTAGATAAGGTGTCAGTTCTCTTGACCATTCAGACACGTTTTACTAATGTGTCTCCTAACAAATTTGAAATGTTACGCATCATCATAGAATACTGTATATAATGGCAGTAAATCCTCTATTTCCGTTTTATCGACTTTGAAAACGACTTCGGCAGCAACGTCGACCACCAGGTAACTGCTTCAAGATTACTTAGTGCCGCAAATCTTTATAAACCTTATTCAACAGCTATGTGACGATGAGAGACATGGAGCAGTTCACAACGGAAAACTCAATGAGGAGTTTGAAGAGAAGATAGAAGTAAGACGCGGCTATCTGCCGTCATCGATGACATTCCTGAATGTAGTGAACTGGACCATGCAACAGACTGTGGGGAGCGAGAAGACAGAAAAACATTAGACGGAAAAGAAAAGTCTAGAAGACCTAAACTGCGCAAATGATCTATCTCTTATGCCCCACACTCTCGAAAACCTACGGGTTTGGACCAACAAGTTAGATGAGAAGCAGAAAAGACAGGACTCGAAGTGAAAATACAGAAGACGGAAATGATGTAAATATCTAACCTACTAAGACAAGTACCAATTACCATGAATAGGAGAAATCTAAAGGAAACTGTCCCATTCACTTACCTGCTCTATCGTCCTAGAATCAATAAAGCACGACAGGTCTTCATTAATCTGAAATCAGGATGGAAATCTACTGCACTCAGTATAAGGAACAAGGTCCAGACTTTCAAAACTAATGTCAAGCTAGTGATTATGTGTGGTTCAGAGACTTGGTGCGCGACTCGCCAAAAAGCATTTTCAATAGTCTACTGCAGAATCTCATCAACAGCTGCTTTCGCCCGATCAGAAAGGGTGAGCAATAAGGAACTCTGATAACACATCAACCAAGGACTTATTGTCCAATAAGTATGCCGAATGAAATTAAAGTGCGTTGGATATACGCTGAGGAGACCGTTGATCGACGTCACACACTAGACACTGTCGAATGAAACCCGAATGGCAAACGACAAGTTGGGTATGATTTTCCGTGACTGACATGGAGGAGATCGTGTCTGTGGAATAAAAGAAAGCCTATGTGTAATCTTGAAGCCATCCAAACATGTCTGCAGAGAACAGAGTGAAAGGAAGATATGCTACTGGAGCTATATGTTCCATTTGAAACCCATGGAAATAATAACAATCTCCTGACAAATCCAAAACCAAAGTCTAGTCTCTCGATTATAATCAACCCAGTCCTGTAAGGTGTTTACAAAGTTCATTCATAGTCTAGAACAGTATAAAATACATAAATTCATGTGACAAAAAATGAACAAAAATGTATAGAAGGTGAAAAAATCAGTCATTTTTTTAAATCAGTTTTGTTCTTCTAACACGTCTGTCATCGTTGCATATTTTTCTCACCCCTAAAAACTGTTCAACTTCTGTTTTCGCAGCAATAACCATATAGTCATACCATTTATTTTTTTACCAATAAATATTTTAAAGACCACATCTTGATAGAATATTGATTATCTTTCATGTATTCCCACTAAACACATTCAAATGAATTCCAATACGTAAGTATTGTGAATTTGGAAAACGTCTACTATTTTCTGTTTATCTACTAGAGAACTGTTCATGCTGAAAATAGATCAGTGTGACAATTTACTACCTACGAATATGTCACTGGATGTTAAGTACTTTGATGCGTCGGTGGCACAGCAGTAGAGTGCTCATCAACAACACAGGTGGTTCGGAGTTCGATCCCCGGCCACCGACGTACTCCTTTACCTCACCAGTAATAAGACTGGTAAAGACGGAAGGTTAAGCATGAGGCTATCAACCCCATCCTGTAGAAATAAAAACCGCAGCTACCGAAACTTCAAACCTCTAGCTTGAAGCCCTATGTTCCACTGCGAACGTAAAGGAATACAATAACAAAAAAGTGAGTATTCTGTGTGTTGAGCGAAGCCTACCTCATCAATCAAGTTCATAATATCGTCAATAGGTTAAATCGTACTATACTAACTAACACACCTTTGAATTAGGCAATAACACCAGTCTATGAGCAAGAAGTAATGACAGTCTTGTAGAAAGTCGTATTCTTTCCAAGATTCGAACTTACATCAATGAAGTCATTGGAATCAGATTATGGGAATAATCTCTGTTGAATTGGATCGTTTACGTGAATAGGTTAACAAATGATAATCAATTTACCCCCCCCCACCCAATGTTAAATAAACCGATTGAAATCTATCGATTACATGTGACATATAGTCATTAAAGGCCTTGTGGACTGAAGCGTGTGGACTGACTTTTTCTGTCTCTTTCTCTGTAACTGTATTCAATCATAATAGTATTCATGAGAAAATTGTATTTCCGAACTTTAGTATGATTATATGATGGCTAACAGTATACAGAATACTGTCAGGCTATTCAAATAGCAAGTGGGTCTAAATTCCAGTCAATTAATGCTGTTACATATCTAAATGATTTAGGGATATGTCTTATGCAATCAGGCTATAAATATGAAGCAACGGTTTTGTTTTTTCAAGAAAGAAGGAACAGAATCTGTGCAAATGACATTTTGTCTCATCTTTTTTTCCCTATAGAATATTATCACACCTTATTTTATGTCCAAAGAACACTTAGCTATACGACAATATCAAAATGATTTAGAAGAAACCATCAAGAAACAAGCAAGACAAATTAGACAACTGAGAGTAAGTTTATTGAATTTTTTTGTTATATTGCGTTGCTGAGATTAACAGACAGATGAATATTTCTAAGGTAGATTTCCACGGGAAGCGAAAGAAAATTAGCCCCCGGGGGAGGACTGTTGAAGAGTCTTAAACTGGGACGAAACAGCTGTTCAGTACCCTGTACCTCTCTGATTTACGTGGGTTCGTTTAGAAATATGCTCCCAGTCTTCACAAACCAGCACTTTAGTATGATATCATAAATTTATATAAACATCTAATGCATTGTCTATCATTCAGCAGTTTTCACTGCAGATATGTTATTAAATAATAAACGGGCAATTGATAGTAGATTCTATCCTTATGTCGACTGTTTTTCAAACCTTGGTACGAACTGCAACTTGAACATATAGTATTTCAGTACTCTTGGTAAACTCTCCACAGCTGATTTACTAATCGGAGAGTGAATAATCAGTACGTTTCTAAACCTTATTATTTAACAACGTGGACTGATTCATGGCGTAAATCCCACCAAATTGGACAGGAAGGTTCTATGTTCGATTTTTGGTGGGTTTGTGTGGGTGAGTATCTCTGAAAGAGCCTAAACTAGGACAAGACAACTGTTCAGTACTTCCTGGTTTGTGTATGACAGAATTTTTCGCCGTTCTATCACATGGTTCGTGTTTGATTATGGCTAGCGTATTCCTGAACCTTACCTAGCAGGCTAGGAAAATAGGGAAGGTTGGTCAGGAGGCTAGTAACTCCATGCCGTAAAAACAACACCACCCCTACTGAAACTTTAAAAAGCCTGAAGGTTTATGTTCCACTCGAGATAGAAAGGAACCTTTTTTTAAAAGTGAATAGTGGAAAATGTCAGCAAAGAAGTAAACTGAAAGACAATAACTTTGATTAGACTGATGTTCTGGAAAGAATTATTTACTATCAATGCTAGCTCAGTGTACAGTACTACTTAATATTAATTAAGTATATCGTCAGTTATTCCTTCATTAAAGTACTGAATTCACTTGCACTTAATAAATTACAGCATAACACAATCTTAGACTACATATCATTTTTATGAAGACTATGGATAACGTTTGTAACACACGTGAAATTTCGATTGACCAGTCAGTTATAAGTATACTATGAAATTTTAATTGTGATAAATTCCACTAAATTATAAAAATTAGTCAAAAAAGCTATTCACCTTTCTGTGGAACCACTTTCGTTTGACACCTCCATTTCGTTTGTACATGATATTATAGAAAATAACTTGCTTATTCATAAGTTGAGACTGATTCCCCATTTCGTGTTTCTAAAATTGAATGAAATTTCCAAGTGTGAAACTCATTCACATCCGAACAAAGAAAGAACGAATATGTTTGTAGGATGAGTTAGAGCTTATTTTATCTCTGGGATTCTTTTCAACTGAATGCAACCTAAACAGTAGCAAAATGTAAATGACAAAATATTTGAAAATACTTTCCTCACAGTGATATCGAGTTACTCATAAAAAAATATAAGCTACATAATTGTGAAATGATGTTAGTAAGCAAGTTATTCAGTGTTAAAAAGATTAACTAGTTATAGTTATAATCAGACATGAAGGGAGAAGTAGAGTTCAGATTTTGCAAAGAACTGAGGATGGAGTAGAGACAGAATACAAAGTCAAAAAGTAGAATGAATTTCATATATAATATGATGGAAAGTTCGAAAAGGTGGGAGTGAAAAGTATAAATAAAATTATGGCAGTGACAAACAGCTAAGTAAATTTGGAAAGTTAATAGTGAGTTCAACTCAATAACTGGAAATCGCAATTAGGTAAAGTGTAACGTAACAGAATCAAATACAAACAACAGACGAACAAAACCATTTCAGTGACTAGAGTAGTGAGAGGTTAATCACACTCTCTTTCTGTACATACAGGCTGGACTGGAATCTTGTGATAACAATGGCTTCCGCGAAGTGAAGCAACCAAGGCTTTCTCTATGTATTGATTACTATGAAAGCCTGACTAGTTTCACCTGTCTGTCTTGTATAAATCAGATGTGTGGTAACTTCACTTGAGAACATATTGCAACCCTTCATACAAAGACTAAAGGATATACTCAAAAAATCTATTGGACCCCTTCTCTCATTCCTTCCCAAGCTACCACAAGTGCGAGTGAATTAATAAATGCAGTTGGAGTTGACATGAACAGGACAGTTATCTACTGTTGACCGAAATAAGGGGCATATCATGTTGTAAAGTGGAATCATTCAGTAAAAGCCAGTCCATGTTTCTTTCCTATGCACTGATTTTTCAATGGTGCAGTCATCCCTTCTTCTTATGCTGAGATCCAGGAAGTTGAACCGATTTTATGATCCATAGTAAATTTAATATGAGAGTCAGAAGCATGTAGTTGACAAGAATACTTGAAATAAAACGAGTTCTAATTGGTGGATGGTGGCTAGCAGTGGAATCCAGGATGCGCATTCTGGTGGTACTACCAGTGTGGTACTACTCAGCAGTGTACAACTGTAATCCTATAAAGGGGTGAAGCATAGAATGCCTTAATCTCATCATGAACACATTACTAATCAAATTCTGGATTCTGACATTACGATATAGTCCAACACTATCTGATTTGATCAACCTAAGTGGTCACAGGTTCCTCATGATTCTCAGATATGTCAAGTTTTCTCTATCGACTAACCTCTGCTGGTTGAAAAAGCATACACTGACATACTTTTTAAACAAACTAACGTTATACGACTAATAGAATATTCAAAATTCACACTTACATTTTAGTTACAGATAAGTAGTTGTCTGTGTGAGTAAATTGGTGAGTAAAGTGAAATAACCAAGAATGTTTTATACTTATGATGAGTTTAACTACCTTATTATATTATTATTGTCTCCTTTAGTTCCTAGAGGAACACAGAGCTTCAGCCACACGTCTCCATTGCGTTCGGTCCACCGCTAACGTTTTCACCTGACTGTACGTCTGCCCACATGCCTTCATTCCCTCTTCACATGTCCTCCTCCATGTCACCCTAGCACTGATGACCAACTCTCCGCTTTCCATTCGGGTTCCACTCGAGCAATCGCATGGAGTGTGATGTCACTTGATGATTTGTTTTCTCAAATTATAGCCAATTCACCTCCAATTCTTCCTGCATATTTGTTGCATAATTGTTTCTTGCTGGGTCGGTTCGCTCCTAGAGACCTACCACCACTGCTGGGTTTTTCTGGCCATCTGATCTTGAGTAGTGAGCGAAGACAAGTGTTGATGTGGGTCTTTAGTTTGTTTGAAGAGCCCTTCGTGATGCTCCAAGTTTGTGTTCCATAGAGTAGTACTGACTTTACATTGGAGTTGAAAATCCGGATCTTATTTTTGATGCTGAGCGCTGTTGACCTCCACACAGACTTGAGAGTAATGAAAGTTTGCCCTGCTTTCCCGATCCTCGCTTTGATGATATCCTCATCAGTTCCATCCGCCTGTAGTTGAAACGGTGCTTCCCAGGTAGGTAGGTAAAGGAGGTTGCTTCTTTCAGATTTCTCCCATTTATGCTGGCTGATTGTTGTCTGTGGTTGTTATTGTTGTTGCTGTTGGCCAGAAATCTTCATCACTTCTATTTTCTCTATGTTCACCTGAAATCCTGTCTTTGATGCTTCTTCTGCCAACTTGTTGCTTTTCACTTGTATAACTTCCAGTCTGTGGGAAATCAGACATATATCATTAGCGAAGTCCAGCCCCTCCAAGTTTCCTTGTGTCGGTCTATCTTATGCCTGCCTTCTCGTTGCTCACTGTCTGTCGTATTATCTAGCCAACCGCAATCAGGAAAATCATCGAATATAGTAAGAAGCCTTGTTTAATAAAGGTTAATTTAAACAACTGACATCCTTATTACACATGGTTAATCTATCAAAAATTAAAAAAGGCCATAAAATTTACAAAAAAAATTTAACATGAAAAGCAGTAAAAATAATAATAAGAAAATAAAATAAAACTAAACCATTTTGATTTTGCTATCAGCATTAAAACTAATATTAACAAAGTAAGTTAAATAGATGTTCAAATCAACTCCGGATACATGTTAGGTATTTAAATTTACTGGTCATAAAGGTTTCTAAAGATTTATTTATTTGTCTTGAACCATAAATCCATCTTAGTGTGAGAACAGTCTTGACATAATTCTTCCAATATAATTTTATTATATATGAAAATGGATGTCTACAGTGTGAAGTTAATAGGAATCATTTGTTTTTTTAGCTAACAAAGTATTTTTCATTACTGGGTTAGTTACCTATACAGACCTATATTACTAATGTATATGGATCGACATATAGGTGTGATTTAAATTTGTATCGACAGAATCCCTGTTAACCAGCACTGGAAAATTAATCCAACGCTCACAAGTGACTGAATATAGGACGAAGACGTCTATCATTCCAGCGAGAAGTCATGACCGATAGAGAACACCAAGCAGGATGTAAGGCTGATTACTCGCCGATGATATTGACTGGTAGTCACGGTATATCTCTGAAATCAGCAGAATTTGGAATTCACAGGCCACTGCACTCCTTTACAGTGAATGAATGGTTAACAGGCCCACCATGTAACCTGGAGCTGTTGAATTTGATTACTGTTGGATAGTCGCAAACTAGGATGTTCAGTACTCCTTGGTTCTCAGTAGTCCCCTACTTGATCTCAGTTCATGATCTAACTTGAGATCAACCAAGTCTCTACAAATCAACATCGGTAAATATAGCTGTATTTTGATAAACTTAATAGGAAATGGTACATTCATTTATCAATGATTCAAATTTCATTTCAATATGTATTTTCTTTTTAAAAATTCTGATAAGTTTTGTTGTATTATAGTAATTAGGAACTAGCCTCTATATATTAATGTGAAATAAACCTTTCTATCAAGACCCTGTTTCTTTTTCTTTTTTTGTTTCTTTTACCTTTTTAATTGAACCTAATTAGTGAGTGAATTTATATCACTCTAGGCATACTAGGAACTATGGGTCGGAG